TAAAAAAAAATAAAAAATTGTCAACCAAAGATACAAAAGATGAAGAATAGAAAAATGAAAATAAAATAATCATCTTACATTTTTCAAAATAGGTTTTTATAAGTGTGATTTTAAGGAGTTATAAATTTATAAATTAAATAATTTGAAGGTTATGAATATGAAAGGTTAGGAGTTATAGACATTACTAAATTAATTAAGATTTAAATTTATGTAATTGAATAGGTGTGTATTAAAGAGATGACTTTATGAAATAAAATAATTGGAAAAAAATAGACAAAATGTCAAAAAAAATCACAAAAAAGATAAATAGAATCATTGGTCATTGAGAGGTGCCACATCACTTTTTTATTATCTAGCTATATATATATGTTACGACCCGATTTCGAAAACTAAGGTTTCGAAACCAATTTCGCAACTTTGGCAATTTTGTACAAAGTTTTGGAAAAATTTAGAATTTGGAAGTCGCCACTTAGTTTTTAGGAAAAAATTAAGAAAACCATTTAAGAAGGAGTATTTGAAAGAAAACATATTAAATAAAACCAGAGTCGGGTAAGGGTTCAAATAATTCTCTAAGGAAGGGTTTAGGCATCTTAGAGAATCCGCTAAGAATAATCCTAACTTAAAACTTTTATCCATAGTCATGTTTCGAATCATACAATTAATTCTAACTCACAAACATGGATTAAAGGACCTTGTTTAACAACTATGAAAGGATATTAAAGATCCTTAAGTCATTCATACAAAATCCTAAGTTAAATTAAAAGACAACTAATTTATTTTAAAAAACTTAACAATTTTATCCTATTCAAAAATTTGAACTAAATAGTTAGTTCAAACTCATAAACATGGATCCAAAGCTAATTACTAACTATGAAAGAATATGATAATTCTCAAGTTAGTCTAAGAGCTTAAGTTGCCTAACTTGCAAGAGTTTTGAAAATTTAAATACTTAAGGTAAACAACTAACGAAATAGAAGAGTTACTAAAAAAAAACTTCCAAGGATTCATCTAAGTTAGATAAAATAAATGTTAGAAGTCAACAAATAAAATAATAAATAATAACACATTCGACATGGTAAGATATGACAAAATTTAAAAGAACTTGGACTTTTGGTCCAAACGCGGGTAGGCGTTGTTGCTGCTGAATTCAAATTGGACTTTCTTTTAAGTCCAATTTTCAATTTTCGTTTCAGCCATTTAGGCTACTGCTGCTCTGCTGCCACAGTGTAAAATTGGACCTTTTTAAGTCCAAAAATTCTCAATTTTAGTCCATTTGGGACTGCTGCAATAATCAAATTGGATTTTTAAATCCAAAATTTAATTTCCGGCCATTTTCGATTGTTGTTACTCCGCTACTTAGCTGCTGCCACTGATTTGGGTTTAAACCCATTGATATTAGCTTCCCTTTCACGATTTCGATAAGGTTGACTCAAGAAGAGAAAAATGCAAGAGAGGGGAGTCCATTGGACTCATTCGGAGAGAGTTCATGAAAAGAAAATGAGAGAAATAAGAATTAGATGTCTGATGAAATAAATCAATTAACTGGATTTATTAAATTGCTAAACAATCAACTTAAACAAGATACAAAATACAACACTTGAAGTTACGAAATGAAAGTACTACTAACAGTGATCACAAAGATATTACACACAAATCAGGACAAATCTAGTTTAAGGAAAAACACCTATCCTTACGAAATCTCAAGTTAAATGCCAATGAGCACGTCATTGTTTCAATACAATCAACAAAAGAGACCATACTAATACTAACATAAAATGAGAAAACAAGTAAAATGCCAAAACTAATTAAATAGAAGATAAGGTAATGAATAGATCCACTTATGATCTACAGCAAACAATAAGAAATTCACTACTAGTATAAACCAATAACAGTCCTAGATGGAGGAAACTAACAACGATAGGCAGCCAAAAATTTACATAACAACAACTAAACTCATTTACTATTAAGTATACTGCTATTTGAACACAACCTTGGTTTAAACCAGAAAAAAAAAAAAAAAAAAAAGAGTGCGAAACGAATTCATACATAATTTAAAGATAAGCAAGTTTAGACTCAATTTGATCAAAGTTTTAAGCCATCTCATTTAGCATACACGAGGGACAAACAAGACAGCAGAAAGCAAGAAGATATAAAATAACTTTACGCCAAAATAACTTAGCAAATTTAAACAAGGATTCAAGTAGAGTAATCTAATAAATTTTAGGATGTATAAAAGTTATGATATGAGCTTTCATCCATCCCAACCTAACTCTTTTGAGAGTACTAAAGAGCAGCCCCCAAACGTAAGCTACTTCTCACTCAAACAATCTCTCGATATGCATTGAGAGCCAAAGGATCTGTGGATTGGCAAATCACACTAACACATTTATGCTTACAGGAGTCTACAAAAGAGACATTGGTCCTTACTTGAAGGGGAAAAACGAATTAACCCTGTGTATACTCTGAGCAAAATAATTAAACTAGTTTAAAGATAAGAAAATATGCTAAACCATGATCAATACAAGAGAGAATCAGCAGCTAATCCTAACACATAAACAAACTCAAGCTTATGTAACACTCATTATCTGGACAAAAACAATCTTAAACCCATACTACCAACAAGATTTCACCTTAAAAACCAACTAACCAGCAATTTTACATTTATAAAGCAGATCGGAGAAATCAGGCTTCAACAAATATAAAGGTAATAATCTTAATACAGAAGACGACAACTTAAGGCAGAGAACAACAACTATATAACAAGCATTTCGAAATCGAATAAAGGTAACAGTAACTAGAAGCACATATATAGATTTATGAACTCGATTAAGTGAAAGAATCACATTCACATCTCTGAATGATAAGAAAACAACCATCAATAGTGAAAAATATTTAAACTCATTCAAAATTGACTTAACTTTAAATGAACAGGATAATGAAGACTTTTTCTATCATGCAAACCACTAATCCCATTGAATCTAAAAAAGATAAATAACAATACTAAACAAATAACAACTCTACAATGCACTAGAAATAAAAGACTGAGGAAAGAGTAAGAAGATTACCTGGCTCTGGGCAGCGACTGGAACTCGAGTCTGAACGTGACGAACTCCACCACCACTCCGACTCAAAATAGCCGCGAATCGACAGAATTTCCGTGACAAAAATAAGAACTCCCAAAACTTAGCGGGGTGCTCTTTTTTTTTTTTTTTGCCTCCCCAAAGCCTCTGTGAACAGTGAAAGGGGGTGGGTTTATATAGCACCAAAACCTCCAAAATTCTGGGAAAAATTTCGATGTGGGATTTTGAGAATTTTCAAAATCCCTTAACAGATAAGGATTGCCAACTAGCTAGTGTACGAATTCGTACTATTTTGAAAGAAATCGGAAAAGAAAAAAGAGGAATTTGAGGGATAATACCGTACCGTTGGTGAACCTTCCTTGAAGCTTCAAATAGTACCAAAGCTCGTGCTTTGCACACAACGATGTACGAATTCAAGGGAGAGAAGAGTAAATTGAGGTTGCGAAATTGGAAATTTAGGGAATGAAGGCTCGTTTTGTTTGTTGTTGCTATGTGCGTATGTGAGGGAGAAGATCATTGCCTGCGTGTATTTACTAAGTGGGCTGATTTTGAGGGCTTTAAAATTTGGGCTCAAATTGGCTTAATTAATTAGTTGATTGAATGGGTTTCTGTGGAATGTTGGAAATATTTGGCCGGTTTGGAATTTGAGAGGAAATGGCCCAAACTTAGCTGAAAAATTGTGGGAAAAGAGTTGATGTTAGATCTTAAAATTGGTTCAAGTTAGAAGCCAAAAGATGAGTTAGATTTGCAATTGGAGAGATGACCATATGAATTTTAATTTAGCCATTTAAAATTAATTTGTAAAATTCGGTCAAAAATTAAATAAGACAAATTAATTAAATTAACTAACGAGCTTTTTAATTTTAACGAAATAAAATAATCAACTTAACTAATTAACTCAAAAATATGAACTATTACTTAACTAAATTAATTAACACAAAATCTTTTGAGACGATTTTTGAATATTTATAAAATATACTAATTATGTATATAATTACATAAAATATATTTATTATTTAAAAATTATAAAAATATAACCAAAATTATTTTAAAATAACTTGAAAGACATTTTTTTTAAAATTTATAAAGTCAAATATTTCAAATCCTTTGAAATTAAAGAAGCTCGTGTTAATCTATAATGCAGAGGGCCAAAATTAGGTGTCAACAATATATATATATATATATATATATATATATATATATATATATATTTATAGATATAGATTTCTTTAAAATATCCAACCTTCGGACAAACTCCACAAAAATGTGAATTTGGGAGATTTTCTCTTTCTTATTTACCTTCTTTAAAAAAATATATAATATATTAATAATCAAGACTCTCTCCATTTTATATTATTTGACTAATTTATTCCTCGGACCCTCTAATTGAATGTATTAAGAAGTGATTGTTAGATAGGTGTATTATTAGTTAAAGTTAGCTGTAAAAAGTTTGTTACAACTGTTTTACTATGATCAGTGAGTTAGTTAGGACCTACTAATCACATATTTTAGAATGATCCATCTATAAAAGTGTGAAGGCCTTCTTATTGTAAAGTGAACATTTCTGATAATGAAATAAATCTTCTTCTTCTTCTTCTACACACGTTTCTCTTCTTCATTCTCTTCCATGGAAGAATAACTTCCATGGTTTTCATCATCAAAACATAAGTTGACATGGTATCAGAGCAAGGTCCGTCTCACCCAATGTTGGGGCCCCCAAAATTAAAATTGCTCACGCATCAGATGTTAAGCACTAGGCGTGAGGTGGGGTATTAAAGAATAACAAAAGTCTCACATTGATGGTTAAGGAGATAGGTGGACTCCTTATAGAGCTTGGGCAATCCTCTTCCATTTGAGCTAGATTTTGGGCAATCACCCAGCTATAATTCAAATTAAAATTCAGCTAACTGCATCTCTGTAATGGCGGAATTGGCAGTTGCTACTCTTCCACACAATAATCCTCTATACTTACAGGTTTCAAATGCACCAGGTGTAGCTCTAATTACGACTAAGCTCACAGGTCCAGAAAATTATGGCCTTTGGAGCAGATCGTTCAGGCTTGCTTTACTGGTGAAGAATAAACTCTGTTTTGTTGATGGAACTTGCTTAAAAAGCTCGTACACAGGAGATCTAGCAGCTCAATGGGAAAGGTGCAACGCCGTTGTACTTTCATGGATCAGCAGTACAGTAGCTTCAGAATTACTCACTACTATTGTATACGCGTCAAATGCAAAACGACTTTGGGACGACTTTAAGGAAAGGTTCGATAAATCCAATCTTACAAGAGTGTATCACCTATGGACAGAGGTATCCTCTTTGAAACAAGGTTGTGATTTTGTAACTACTTACTATTCTAAATTGAGAGATCTGTGGGATAAACTGGATGTTTTAGTACCTGCTCCTTTATGTAATTGTGTTGAAGCCAAACCTTACATAGAACATCTTAATCAGTAGAGGTTATTGATGTTTCTAATGGGTTAAATGAGTCCTATAGCCATATTAGAAGTGATTTACTACTCAAAACTATTGTGCCCAGTGTTAATCAAGCATATGCCACAGCAGTTCAAGAGGAAAGTCAGAGATTGTTGAGTGTTGTGGAGATTCATATGGAACCCTTCACTATGCTGGCTAATCGAAAGCCAGTTTTCAGAGGAAAAAAGTTACTGGATAATCCATGTGTGCACTGCGGTTATAGGAACCACTTGAGTAAGGATTGTTACAGAATAATTGGATATCTAACTTATTTCAATAGCAAGAGAAAGCCAGATGCATCCAACAGTTCTAAATCCACTGGTTGTTTTCAACATGATTCTACTGGTCTCAAGTCTTCTACTAACTATGTTGCTTCTGTAGGACAGGTACATGCTCTCACACTTACAGAAGAAGAATATAATCATGTGCAGAACCTTAGACACAATTCAGGTCATACAAATGCAGGCGATGAAGATGATCTTAAAACCGATTTCAGAGGTAATGTATCAGTTACACCTAATGTTTGTGAACATGAGTGGATCATTGACTCTGGTGCTACTCATCATGTTACTTCTTGTAAGGACATGTTATCACATTTAAGGTGTCTTGGTAATCGATGATCAAATATTGTTCAATTGCCCACAGGCAACAGGGATCCTATTGCAGGCATAGGTTGCTCTACTATCCTGGGTGATCACACACTGAAGGATATTTTGCTTGTTCCTGATTTCAAGTTTTACTTGTTGTTAGTTGACCAAAGATCTACTGTGTAGTGTCAGTTTCTTCCCTAATTTTTGTGTACTGCAGGGTATTTACAGTGAGAAGGTGATTGGGATTGGTAGAGAAGATGAAGGCTTGTACTTGTTAAAAGACACCATTAATACAGTGACTACTGCTACAATATATAATGATAACTTCACCACATTGTGGCACTTGAGGCTTGGTCATCCTTCCCTGACAGCAATGCAACATATTCCATCTTTGACTGGCAACTTGTCTACTCTTCCTTGCTGTCATATCTGCCCTCAAGCTAAGCAAAGTAGACCTAGTTTTCCTTCTAGTTTGCATAAATCTAGTGTTATATTTCAGTTGGTTCATATAGATGTATGGGGTCGCTATAGGACTCCAACTTATGACAAGAAGCAATACTTTATGACCATAGTTGATGATCACAGTAGATTCTCTTGTCTTTGTTTGATTCATTCCAAAACTGAAGTCTACTCTGTATTGAAAATTTTTCTGTTAATGGTAAACACTCAATTTGACACTAAAGTGAAGGTGTTGAGAAGTGATAATGGCACAAAGTTCATGAATTCCAACTGTAAAGATTTATTAGCCTCTCTTGGGATAGTGCATCAAAGTTCTTGTGCTTATACACCCCAACAGAATGGGGTGGTGGAAAGAAGCATAGACACATACTCAATATTGCCAGGGCATTAAGATTTCAAGCCTCAATTCCTATCTCTTATTGGGGTCATTGTGTCAAGGCAACAGTATACTTAATCAATAAACTTCCTACAACTGGTTTGCAAGGAAAGTCCTCCCATGAATTATTGTATGGTACTCCACCACACCTAGATCATCTAAGGGTATTTGGTTGCCTTTATTTCACATCTGTACTGCCTAAATCAAATAAATTTTCTCCTAGAGAAAAGAAGGGTGTTTTCATGGGCTATGCAGAAACTCAAAAGGGATATAGAGTGTTTGACCTTGAGATGCATTCTTTTCATATTAGTAGGGATGTTACCTTTGTAGAACATGAGTTTTCTTTCCAGTCTGACTCATCTCCTATGGCCCTGCATGATCTCCTGGAACCCCTTTTTACTCCTTTATCACAAACATCCATTCCTACTCTATTTGACACAAGTCTTGGAGTGCAAGTTGAATGTGCAGAGGAGGTTTCAACTCCTCCTTGTACAGCTACTGATGTCTCTCCTCCTAGTGCAATACCTCCACCATCTGCTGAGCATACCACCTCTACACCTGATATGGAAATTGTTGCACCTTCTACTACAAGACCCAATAGGTCTGTTAGGCCTCTCATTTGGCACCAGGACTATGTTGTATCCAACCCCCAAAAGCAAGTTCATTCTACTTGTCTTTATTCTATTGGAGACTATGTTGTCTACTCCAAGTTGAGTTGTTCCTATAAGTCATTTTTAACTGGTCTTTCTAATTCTTCTGAGCCTACCACCTTTAAAGAATCCTCCAGTAGTAAAAAGTGGGTTGCTGCTACGAAAGATGAAATTGCAGCCTTAGAGCAAAATAACACCTGGAAAATGGTGGACATTCCTCATGGAAAAAAGGCTATTGGCTCTAAATGGGTATACAAAATCAAACTTCAGGCTAATGGTGAGGTTGAAAGGTACAAAGCAAGGCTTGTTGCAAAAGGTTATAATCAGCATGAGGGTCTGGATTATAATGAGACATTCTCCCTTGCAGTGTTTTGGACGGCGAGAGGCGACAAAAGGCGACAAGGGCCTGCCTCGCCACGCGGCGAGGCGAGCGGCGAGGCGATCGCCTTTTTGAATCAAGGCGCCAATTAATACCAAAAATTAAAAATATTTAATTGCATATATAAATATCTAAAATCTCAATAGCAATAACATATATTAGCAAATATTTCAATTCAAAAACAAAAAGTAGATACTAAAAGTCTAGAACTTTAAAGACCCAATAATTCAAAAGATAATACTAGAACTCTAAAAGTCTATTCTTCTTCAAAACTATCCAACTCTTGAAGATCAACATCCTCTACATCATTATATTGCTCCTCATCTTCTTCCTCCTCGTAGTCTTCATCAATTAGTGTCCGAGTCCTACTTGAAGTTGAACTTGTAGATGAAGTTTCTACTCCTTTGCCCTTGTCAAGTGCTCTTGATCTTGAAGAAAGTCCCCTAAGATGATAGATACTCTCATCAGCTCCAATTGCCGTAGCAACACTACCCCAAGTAAGATCATCATCCTCATATACTAGTTCATCTTCTTGATCTTCGGGGCATCCAACTAACCATTCATTTGAATCATCAATGTTATCCAAGCGAATTGGATCAATGAGATCACGAGCATCATAATGACGTTTCAATGTTCTATTGTACTTAATGTACCCTAGATCATTGAGACGCGATAGTGCAAGCCTGTTCCTCTTTTTGGAATGAATCTACACATAAGTTACATATATTAACTAATAGATATTGATAATAATATAATATGGAAATTAGAATATAATTTTTTTACTTACGTGTTCAAACACACTCCAATTTCGCTCACATCCGGATGAGCTACAAGTTAGGCTTAATACTTTCATGGCAAACTTTTGCAAGTTTGGTGTTTCACTACCAAATAGTGACCACCATTCCACTATAATAAAATAAATTTTGAGGTTAATGAGTGTAAATAAGTCGAATAATTTAAGTAAGAGCTAAATCAACTCACTTACCCGGTGACCTTGTGTCTCTAGCTCTTTTAGCCGGACCACAACCAAATAGTCCATTCGCCATTTTGTACCTAGGAAGCTCAGCGACTAGTAAATCTTGTATTGTTGTATCGGGGATCATCTTCTCAACACATGCATAATACTCGGTCCACAGACTCTGTAGTAAAGTTCCTTCTTTTTGAGCTTTATAATACAATCCTGGGTTCAAAACATGGCCTGCAGCATGCAAAGGCCGATGGAGTTGGTCTGACCACCTTGCATCAATAATTTCAAACACTTTCTCATATTGCTTCTTAATTCCACGAAAACCCCGTTCAATAGTTTCTTTGGCTCTATCCATTGCTTCATAAATATAGCCTATTGGTGGTTTTTTCTCCCCATCCACCAAACGAAGCACTTTTGTCAAAGGGCCACAAATTGTAAGTGCTCGAACAACATCATCCCAAAAGTGGGCAGAAATAATAAGATTGGCAACATCTTTTCCCAAAGTTTCCTTTGCAAATTTACTTGAAGAGCATTCGGTTGAGAGGACTAAAGTTCTCAAGTTTTTTCTTTGTATGTACATAGCTCTCAAAGTTAAGAAGGCCGTTGCAAATCTTGTCTTGGCCGGTTTCACCAAATTTCTTTCCTTGGTGAATTTTCTCATCAAGTTTAACAACAATGGCCTTTGACTAATGTAAGAATGGATTCTGATGGCCTTCTTAAAAACTGTTACGGTAAGATTATAGTAATTAGTAGCTAATAAGTATTAAATATTGACTATAAAGAAAGTTAGAGGATATGAGAGTGATATTACCGGAAGCATATGGCTTAACCTTGAATATGTCACCAAACATCAAGTTGATGCAATGAGCGGCACATGGAGTCCAATAAATGTGTGGGTATGCACCCATCATCATGCTTCCCGCTTTAACATTCTCACTAGCATTATCAGTGACAATTTGTACAACATTTTTCGGTCCAATTCTTTCAATAGTGCTTTCAAACAACTTATACATTTTGGTGGAATCGGTAGATTCATTGCTAGCATCAACAGAGCCAAGAAATACACTACCGATTGGAGAATTTACCAAAATATTGATGATCATTTTACCATTTCGTGCCGTCATTTGTCCATCATAATGGAGCATCCAAACTTTGTCCATTGCACTTTATGCTCATCAACGATTTTTTCCACTTTCTCCACCTCTTTTTTTAGGTGAGTAACTCTAACTTCATGAAATGTAGGAGGCTTCATTCCGGGGCTATGTTGTCCTACTGTCTCAATAAATTTATCAAATGATTTGTGATTGACACAATTAAAAGGGAGCCCCGCATCATACATCCATATCGCGAAAGCACTTACCGCACGCTCTCTTAGAATTTTCTTTGTTTTATCAATTCCTCCTCCTTTTTCAAAGCCTCCTTTTTTTGTTGATTTATGCGGAAAATAGAGATTCATAGGGCCTTTTGTCACATTCCGCGCGGTGGATGATGCACCTCCACTAGAAGATATCTTTGGAGTTTTGGAGGGAGGTATCATTTCCGCATACTCATCCATATCATCAATATCATCAATATCAATATATTCTTCCGGCAGCCTCACTTGAAAGTTGGGATTATTAGCGATTTTATTTTGCATATAAGCCCTTACTTCTTCTCTAATCGCCGACGGACAAGCTGTACATTGTTTAACATTCTTGAAACCACCCACTAAATGTTGCTTGTGTCGAGTTATTCCACCATTAAAAGTACTCCCACAAAAGTTACAATTAACCGAATCTTTCGTTGCTCCTTGAGTACCATAATTCCATCCAATGTCCCTCTTTTTGCTAGCATCCGCCATTTAATTCACTATTGTACAATACAACAGATATTATATTAATTACTATAGAAGAATTAATTTTTTAAAAAAAATAATAGACAGCACAGTGAAAGCAGTAGACATTTTACAGTGAACAAAGAAAACAGAGGAAAAAAACAGAGCAGTGATATATGATTTAACATGACATGTAATCTAAATGATACCATTTTTATAAAATACAATACAACAGATACTATATTAATTACTATAGAAGAATTAATTATTTTTTTAAAAATAATAGACAGCACAGTGAAAGCAGTAGACATTTTACAGTGAACAAAGAAAACAGAGGAAAAAAACAGAGCAGTGATATATGATTTAACATGACATGTAATTTAAATGATACCATTTTTATAAAATACAATACAACAAATACTATATTAATTACTATAGAAGAATTAATTTTTTTTTTTAAATAATAGACAGCACAGTGAAAGCAGTAGCATTCAGCAACATTTTACAGTGAACAAAAAAAACAGAGCAGTGATATATGATTTAACATGACATGTAATTTAAATGATACCATTTTTATAAAAAATAAAAAAATGTAAGATATATTTTAAAAAAGAGAAATACGGTGTAGAACTGTAGATCAAAACAAAAATTTGAATGTTTTCTAAATTCCAAACGTAAATGAAATTTGCATACTTAAGTACTGATTTTCCAAGTAAATTAAATTAAAATTTCAAAAACAAATAAATAATTCTAATAGTAGTTAAATGGGTCTTTTGACGTCATTTGTATTTTATCTTTGGTACCTCTAAAAAGAAAGCAGTGAAGAAACAGAGTAAAAAAACAGAGCATTAAAGGCAGCAAAGCAGAAGTATCAGAACTTCAGATTTCAGAAGAGAAGAAGAGAAGAAAAGAGACCATACCTTTCAATTCGCGAGGAAGAAAGTAAGAGAAGAAGAGTCGACTGAAGGAGAAGAAGAGAATCGCGAGGTTGAAGAGAATCACGAGGTTGAAGAGAGAGTCGCGACTGAGTCCCAAGTTTGGAAATATGGAAAAAAAACCCTAGTTTTGACTAATATTAAGTCCAAGACCTTTTTAAAATTTTAAAAATAAAAGGCGCCGCCATTCAGGTCGCCATTACGTCGCCTCACGTCGCCTAATTGGTCTCGCCGCGCCTCACTGAGAAATGGCGTGATAGGCTCGCCTCGCCTCGCCTTTGCGCCTTTGGCGAATGGCGAGCGCCATTAAGAACACTGCTCCCTTGTTGCCAAAATGGTTATAGTAAGAATTGTTATCAGTGTAGCTGCATCACACTCTTGGCCTCTTTACCAAATGGATGTCCATAATGCCTTTCTGCAGGGTGATCTTCTTGAGGATATCTACATGGACATGCCTCAGGGTTTTCAGAGGCAGGGGGAGTATAAGGTGTGTAAATTACTCAAGTCTTTTTATGGCCTCAAACAGGCCTCCATGCAGTGGAATCTAAAATTGACTGAGGTTCTACTATCTACTGGCTATTCACAAAGTCTCTATGATCACTCATTTTTCACAAAAAAAAATGGAGAAGACATAGTTGTGATCCTCATTTATGTGGATAATTTACTCCTGACAGGCAACAGTAGAAAATTAATACAACAATTGAAGGAATCTCTTCATAGAAAAATTCAAGATGAAAGATCTTGGTGATCTCAAGTACTTTCTAGGAATTGAGATTATGAGGTCTAAGGCTGGAATTTTGCTCAATCAAAGGAAATATGTTTTTGAGTTAATCTCAGACACTGGTCTGAGTGGTGCTAAACCAGTGACCACACATTTGGAAGCAAACACCAAACTCACCACAATGCAGTATGATAAACTGATAGGACTCAATGATGATCCTTTATTCAAAGACATAACAGGCTATCAAAGATTAGTTGGAAGACTGATATATTTGACTATCACCAGACCTGACATCAGTTTTGTTGTGCAAGTGCTTTCACAGTTCATGCAGCAGCCTAAAATGTCACATTGGGAAACATCATGAGGCTAGTCAGATACATCAAAGGATGTCCTGGTCAAGGACTATTGCTGCGCAGTAAACAAAGTTTGGAGTTAAAAGCTTTTTGTGATTCAGATTGAGCATCATGCCCCAACACCAGAAGGTCAGTAACTGGATACATGATCAAATTAGGAGATTCTCTTATATCCTGGAAGTCAAAAAAGCAACATACAGTGAGTAGAAGCTCTGTTGAAGCTGAAGCTGAATATAGAAGTATGGTTGGCATTGTTGCAGAAATTATTTGGGTACTAGGAGTGTTAAAGGAGCTGAATGTAAATGTCACAACACCTATGAAGTTGCATTGTGATAGCAAAGCAACAATTCAAATTGCCAGTAATCCTATCTTTCATGAAAGAACAAAATATATAGAGATAGATTGTCACTTTGTGAGGAAAAGAATCAAGAGTGGATTAATACTACCTACCTATGTTAACACCACACAACAACCTGTTGATCTTCTTACAAAAGGCTTAGGTGCAGCTTCTCATCATATGTTACTATCCAAGCTTGGAGTCTTCAATGTGTGTTCAGACTAAAGCTTGAGGGGGAGTATTAAGAAGTGATTGTTAGATAGGTGTATGGTTAGTTAAAGATAGTTAAAAAGTTTGTTGCAACTGTTTTACTGTGATCAGTGAGTTAGTTAGGACCTACTAATCACACATTCTAGAATGATCCATCTATAAAAGTGTGAAGGTTGGCCTTCTTATTGTAAAGTGAACATTTCTGATAATGAAATAAATCTTCTTCTACACATGTTTCTCTTCTCCATTCTCTTCCATGGAAGAATAACTTCCATGATTTTCATCATCAAAGCATAAGTTGACAGAATGGGTGGGGCTCGTCTTTTTTTTTTTTTTTTGGGGGGGGGCTCATCTTTATGTAATGAGATGTTAGAAGAACGTTAACCACACTAAAAATAATTATTTTAATTTACTTATCTATGAAATTAAGAAGATTTGATTATATTTTTTTCTTTCGATCCTCAGTACTAAATAGAATAATAATAATCAAATTTAATTTTTTTAAGTATCATTATTTTAGTTTAGTAAAATATATATTTTTTTCCTACGTAAAATTCTCTTAAATCTTAATGTGGTTCCTGAATATAGAGAGAGATCAAATGAAAAACTACAAAAAGGGGCATTCCGAGAATCGAACTCGGGACCTCTCGCACCCAAAGCGAGAATCATACCACTAGACCAAATGCCCGGCTTTAACTTATTAGTTCTGTATTATATTTTTAGTGTAAGGCCTTCATGATTTCCTAATGAAAGGAGGATGTAAAAGGACGAGAAAAGCACTGCCAATCTTCTTGGACAAAATGAGATACATTCCCATCCTTAATCCCCTCACTATCATCTTTAGTTCTTTAACAAAGTCCACTAGTTATTTAGTAGAGAAAAAGAAATGGAATTTCAGTTCCATCTTGCAGATAGTATTGTAATCATACTAAGTTCCAACATGATTAGAATTGAAATGGTCAATTGGTCACACATTTAAGTGCTATTCACTTCAAACTAGAATTTTCCTTTTCAAGTATGAGATTTAGCATTCAAAATGCCTGCCTCACGTAAAAAAAAAAGCGTGAATTCACTGCTTTCTTCCCAGTCATTTTAAAGCTGTCCTTTTCTCCTATTACATGTACTAGTGTTAAAACATAAGTAATATGGACATGAGAGAGCATGATGAGGAATTGAGGACAATATGTACTGATATATACCGTAAAGACAACACATATTTGTAAGATGGGGTAAGCCATTTTCAGGTTAAGTATTCCGAATTAACTAAGGTAAAATCATACAACACAGCTAGAATCAACGTGTAAAAATCTCACAGGGGAAATGCTTCTCGAACAATATGGTATGCAAAGGCATCAATTGATCATGTACAAAACTGGAAGCAAACCACTGCCGGCAATAACTGCCTCCGATGGCTGTGGACTGTGGCTTACGACTCAATGTCAATGCAAATTCTAACCCTCGTCTTTTAAGATCAGCTAAGCCCTCATTGCTGGTTTGAGACTTGTGATCTTTGCAATAGATGAATACAGAAAAGTAACATGCATAAAACCATTCAACAGTTCATTGCATTTCACTGAATCAGCTTATTTTCATGTCCAGTAGCCAAAATAAGACAACCTAACACATAACTAAACTCATACTCAATACAGTGGAGTAGCATATTCTTGAGATTGGCCAACATAAGAACCAATCATTCTTGGAACATAATTCAAGCATAGAATTATCCCAATTGGTTATATCACTCTCATGATTAACATTCAACAGAGTTACGTGAGGGAAGGCTCAAGCTAAAATTCTGCTCGTGAGTGTAATGGTATAAGTCAAACATACTAACAATTTAAAACTGCAAAAATCAGAAGATGTATAATCATAAGCAAAGTCGGGTGAAAAAACTTCATTTGAGAAAATTGGTACTAGTATATCTAACAAATGAATTCTCTTGCGAAAACACAACTAAGAGTGAACATTTACCACAAATTTATTTAAGCAATAGAAACTTTAGCACCAGCTTCTTCAAGCTGTTTCTTAGCATCTTCAGCCTCATCCTTGGAAACACCCTCCTTAAATTTCTTAGGCAATCCTTCAATCAATTCCTTAGCCTCTTTCAAAGCCAAACTTGTTAAAGCCCTAACAGCCTTAATAGTCGCAATTCTAGCATTACTAGGTACTTCATCGATGACTACATCAAATTCCGTTTTCTCCTCAACCACAGGTGGAGCATCTGCGGCTGCGCCACCAGGGGCAGCGACGACGGCAGCGGGAGCGAAGGATGCGGCTGAAACTCCAAGCTTATCCTGAAGGTACTCGACGAGTTTCTGGGCATCGGCGAGGGTTAAGTTGGAGATTTCATCTCCGAGCTGGACTACCTTCTCCGGTGCTTCGACGGAGGCGAGAGGGCGGACGAAAGTGGCTCGGCGGTGGTGGAGTTTGGGAGTGCGAATGGGGAGTTCTAGGGTTTTGGTAGGGAATGAAATTGAAGCGTGCGTGGAGCTTACGGTTGATTGAGAAATAGGAGAGGGAGAACGAAGGGCAATTGTGGATAATGTGGAAGCCATTGTAGCAGAGCTTAAAGAGAAATTGAGGACGGGAGAAGAGAGTGAAAGAGGGAGATAGAAAAAATAGGATAAGGGGTTTGAAAAATTGTGTTGATAAGGTCATATATAGTTCCCTGTTTATTTTTCCTCCCTTTTGGTTAATTTATTATTTATTGAATAAATATACAAGAGAAAACGATAATCTTTCAAAAAGGAATTAAATCTATATTTTGGATTCTGAATTCTGATATTGCTAATGATACGATTTTAGATTATATAAACCTTTCTAATACTGATTTTAAAATGTCGATTAAATAAAAATGAAATATACAATACTAATAATTGAGAACAAAACAATTCTAAAAAAAAATTCTAAACAATTTATTCATGAAAAAAGAGCGGGGCATTCCGAGAATCGAACTCGGGACCTCTCGCACCCAAAGCGAGAATCATACCACTAGACCAAATGCCCTGCTTTGGAATTCGTGTACTTTAAAGTCTAAAACATTATGAAAATTAAAGGAATAATATATGAATATGTCATTTAACTTAGTTGTAGTAGACATTTACGTCCTTCAACTTTAGGTATGCACAAGCAGACACTCAAACTTGTATAAAGTTAAATAAATAGACACAAGTGTTTTACGTGTATTATACACGTAAGACATGAATTGTCACGTCAGACATATATGTCTAGTTGTTCAACTTTATATAAATTTAAATATCTATTTGTGTGCATCCAAAGTTGAAAAGCATAGATATCTGCTAAAACCAAGTTAAATGACACAATTATGCCTAAATTAAAATGGTGAATGTACCATTTTGGAGTCGTTTAATTGATGGATTCAGGATAATAATAGCATTGATTTTCTTCCTAGGCTCCAATTCTTCAAGAGCATCTACCAATAGCATTGATTTTCTTCCTAGTCGTTTTAAAGTTGTATTTTCATCCTATTAATATGTACTAGTGTCAAAACATAAGGAATCTGAACATAAAGAGAGCATGTTGAGGGATTGAGGATAATGTGTATTGATATATACTGTAAAGACAGAATACATGTTTGTAAGATTGAAGCCATTTTCAGGCCGAGTATTTCAAATTCTCTAAGCTAAAATCATACAACACAGCAGGAATCGACGTGTAAAAATCTTCCGTGGGGAAATGCTTCTTGAACAAGACATTTACCACCTTCTACGCCTCCTACCATACCAGTATGCAAAGGCAGCAATTGAAGCAGCCAAAATGACTCCAGCTGTTGCATGCCAAACATGTAAAGGTTTCTCTGTTGCAAGAGTGGAACCCGAACCACTGCTGACAACAACAGCTTCCGATGGCTCTGGTTTATCACTCAATGTCAATGCAAATCCTAAACCCTGTGTTTCGAGATCAGACAAGTCCTCAATTGCTGGTTTGAGCCTTGTGATCTTTGCAATAGCCTGGTACTCCTCTTTGGTTCCACCCTCCAGAAAAGACCCAACGACGTGACCTTTGTTCACCCAGTAAGCACCAAAGCTATTCCCCAAGAAATCCCCAAAATGGACTACATCACCAGTACTGTCACCATAGAACTGCCAAGAGAGTGTGAAGACTCTGGAGTAGAAGAATGGCAAGTAGTCAAACTCCGTTGTTTTCTCTGGTTCCATGATTGCAGCAACTGCATGCCTTGCTGACTTCCTTGCAGAATCAACGTGTTCAAGTCTCCGTGTTTCACCGAAAATTTTAACAGGAAAAGTTGCAACATCCCCAACAGCATAGACTGAGCTGTTGCTTGACTGCATTTGGCCATTGACTTTTATCCCTCCTTTCTCAAGAGTAAGCTGCCCTTCAAAGAGGCTGGTATTTGGTCGAATTCCAATGCCTACTATGACCATGTCGGCTGGTAGTTTGGTTCCATCTCTCAGATTCACTGCAGTCATCTACATAAAAAGTCCCCGCATTCAAGCATCATGTCCAGTATGACTTCAGTGATATGTAAAATTGTGAAATGCAACAGTTGATTAATGTTAGTTCCAGCTTAACAAAGTGACTTGTTAAACTGAGTTCAAAAATCTTCACTCTTCAGTAAAAGTAAACCTTTTCTTATTCAAACAGAAAAGGATTTTAAAAAAGAAGAAGCTGTTTTCAGAAACTAATAAACTGAGTTTGCACTAACAAAGTAACTAGTCAAATTGCGGTTGGAAATGTTCAGAAAGAGGTAAATGATAAAGAAGTTCAAATGAACACTTCTGCGAAAAGCTATCAAGCAAACGCCGCCTAAGTGAAGCAAGCAACAGGCTTTACCTTATCATTGGAGTCAAAATCAAATGATGTCAAGACCGTTCCTTTCACAAACTTAACTCCTTTTGACCGGTAAAATTCTTCGTAGAAACTTGCAATTTTAGGAGTAAATAGGCGGGCCACTAACAACAAAAGAAAAGGAAAGAAAATTAAATGCTTTATATAAACATTAGAAAAAACAACAGGTAACTGTAACTGTAACTAACTCTTGGACTTTGGGTTTTAAGAATTAAGAAACAAATTAGTTTTTCTCATACATAAGTTTTCAATTTCTGATTTCATGTTTCGAGGAAATATGTGGGCGGAAGTCCCCCATTCTAATCAATTTTCATATCTTTAAAGCATTTGTTGATTACTGTGATCACTGTTTTTCTCTACTAATAGCATGGTTTGGAGAGTAAGGCATGTGCTAGATTTCAGATAGCTTTTTGTATTTTCTGGAGGAAATGCAACTACTAAAGTTATACTAATGCATTATTCTCCAGAGAGGGGAAAACACAGTTTTTACTTTTGATATAATTTACAAGCAATCTAAAGAAACTCCAGTAAGAAACAGAAAAGAAAGTTCTCCAACTTCACAAAAGAATATAATTTACAAGCAACCTAAAGAAGCTCGAGTTAAAAACAGAAACGGAAGTTTTCCATCATTACAAAAGAATACTTACTGCAGTGTGCTTCTGGAAAGACCATGGTGACATTGATTTTGCCGATCACCAAAGAAGCAGCACATTCCATTCCTATGTAGCCACCACCAATTACAACAGCATTGCCACCACCGCTGGATTGCATCACATTAACCAGCCTGTTTGCATCAGCCAAATCTCGTAAATAACATACACTCTCAGCATCTGAGCCACTCACTCCAAACTCTTCAAGCTTCAAAGCCTAACAAAACATGCCAACCAAAAGTCAAAGCCTTTATAAATTTCTAATTTCATTGTCCACTAGGGAGCTTGGTCTTTGAGATTGAACTTTGTCCATACCAAATAAAACCTTCGGCATGAACCCTCAGAGGCACACTCATTAATCCAATTCTGTTTCAAACTTCCAATACTGAAGTAAATGAACTCTACTTATCTGAATGTCCATGAAGCCTAACCTCTATGCTAACAAGTTTGACACCTAGTTTCTGCAGGATACATATCAAAATGATTGTATTGGCAATTTTTTTGCTACTAGTTCTTAACATTTTTTTTTTTTTTGAGATAAACTAATTCTTAACATTATTTTCACGGTCCCTATGGAGAGAAACCAAGTAATATATTCACTGATATAAACTAACTATAAAAATCACATGCACAATATTATGAAGACGGTAAGGTATTGTGAAACAACAGAATTTTCATTTTCTTTCTTAGCTGGTACAGCAGAATTGTATTTCAGTATCCACTGACTTCTCTGGGAAATCACTTAAAGCAAGTATCTGGACCTTATTAACAGAGGCAGATCCAGGATGGGCTATACCTTTAAGGTTCTCAACAAACAGCAATATACCCACTGTAATCCCACAAGTGGGGTGGGGAGGGTAGGTTGTACGCATACTTTAGCCCTACCTTGTAAAGATAAAGAGGCAAGGGTAAGATTTGTGTACACTCTACCCTCCACAGACCCCACTTATAAAATTACATTGGGTATGTTGTTTTTTGCTAAGAACCTTAAAGGTAGAACCCATAAGGGTTCTTAGCATTGAACTCATTATATTTTTGAAGTTATGGGTTCACATCTACAATTTGTTGCAAATAACTTTATGTTCCGCGTCAAAAGTACTGGATCCGAACCCAGTAACTTGAAGTTGCATTCCCCCCTGCTTATTCAATCCATCAGAAGAGGACACTACTCTAATGTCTTGATGCATAAAAAATGCAACAAAATATGGTGCTACAGCAGAAGATCCCGAAGATAAATTAGATACCCGAGCACCAGTTGCCACTATGAGAATCTTGTAGGTTATGGTTTCACCAGTTGCAGTCAACAATGTCTTCCGTCTCACATCAGCTGATTTTACACGAGTTCCAAGGACCAGCTCAATTCCTAGAGGCAATAGAACAATCAATGACTTATCAATATCCTAGGAAAGCTATTAAATGCCTCATTCTTTTGCACTAAAAAGTAACTAGAACTATAAGAAATAGCTCAACATAATAACATATTCTAATCACTGATGCCAGTTACCAGCAGCCTTTTTTCGTTGCCGTTCCCAGCTAGTGCATTCCATGAAAAGTGATTAATTTCAAAACCTTATGATGTTTATGGCTATTGAACTTCATTTTAAGTGATTCAAAAACCAGTATTGCTGCAGCTAATTACAGCCCAAGAATGTCACTCTCAAAATCTTTTCCCCTGATTCTAATCTTTCAAAATGCTGGCTAAACATGAAACTCAAGCAGATATTAAATATCAGGAAATAGTTCATGGTCTTCCTATATAAACAAGGTTTCTACTACGTCAAGCAAAGATGACCTTCTGAATGAAAAGCCTAATCCTTTTTCTTCTTTTATGAAACAACTATCCTCTCAATAGGTAGTCCTACAAAAGGTGAGACAAACATCAAACTTGGCTCTGAAGACATCCATATGTGATGAATTAAACTAGTTGGAACAGTCCAGTTAAGCTCTTAATTTGTAATCAGACATTTTTTAAATGAGTTGTATGGGCATGTCGTCAAGTATATGTGATTAATTCTGGGGATTCCAATTCCTTAAGCAAATGTCAACAACAAAATGATGCTGCGACATTAACTACAATAGAATAACACAGTGTGATTCTAATTTTTATAGCTCTACCTCTATACAAGTAATTCAATAACCTTTATAAGTTCAAGGCAGTCAGTAACTGCAATGCTCACTTTGGACAATTCTAAATATATCTATGACAACCATAAATGAAAATTGATGAATTACAATGATGCCTGCTAAAATATTTAAAGGCTATGGCCCATGAAAGCAAAAGATATTAAAAAATTACCGTTTTCCTTGTACCACTTCGGCGTCAACCTTTCCTCATTTGAACCAACACAACAATGAAAAGCAGGCAGACGTGCAGGATCTGCATAGAATAAAAGTTAAAAAAAGAATGAACATAGGAGAGAAAAGAAGAAACACTCATCCAGATAACTCTTGTTAAGTGACTGTAACTAGAACCAGGGAGGATTCCACCATTAATGCTTGTAGGATGTTTCCCCAAAATTACAATGCACAACAAAACTTATCTTTAAATCTAAAGAAAGCATTAACATCCACTTGGAAGATGTCTAAGACAAAAATCTGAACAGGGAGATACCTTCTGGTAGTAAATAACCCTTGCTTAATGCCGGTCGTTCATAAGGAGCAACCTGAAAAGAACAGCAGAAGTTTAGAAGATGAGGTAGGAAACTTCAGGAAGCTCCAACATGAGAGAGCCATCATGCCATCATGTGTTACCATCCAATAAATGATTGTCTCCATAAGGAAGCATCTGACAAATTCTGGGTCTTTGTTATTATTCAGAGTCTGTTGGTTAGTTGATGAGTGGGTGTTACTGTTAGTTAGTTGGTGGATTCAGTTAGATTAACAACTAACTAATACATGAGCTGGACATGATTTTAGATATAGCAATTAGTGTATAAATACTGTAATTGTACTGATCCTAATTCAATTGAATGAAAATATCTGATCCCCTTCTTTTTTCTGAGCTACTCTGTTGAATGTTTCCGCCATTGATGTAGCTCGATTTACTGAAGCTAACAGTTATAGACATTAGTTTTAACTCTAGGAAGGTAAAAGATCAAGATAGATAAAAGGGGCAGATCACTCGAAGCTATGATCTTTATTATTTCTAATGACATTAAATTGGATCAAGATAGATAAATTGCTAAGTTTATGCATCTTTTTGCCTCCTAGAAAATGAATGAGGAGAGGGAGGAACAGTAAAGAGAAATAACCATTCCAGCAGCGCTTCAAGTAGATGGTATGCACTAAAAACTCAATAGCAGATCTACAAATTGTTAGCATTTCTATCATGTGACACTGTTATTGGAATCAGAACAGATTTTTGGGATTCATCCTAGCAAATCAAGTATCACTACGTTCCTCCTAAAACTTTCTAGAAGCTACAGTTTCAATGTGATTAAAAATTAAAATTTAATCTAGTCTCGAAAAGTCATCACAAAACCCCAAATTCAGCTCAGATAAGAAGAAAAACTACTCAAATTGGATTACACGCATAAAAATTCAGAAAATTGAACATTTACAACATTATAAGAAATAAGGAGCAATACACAGATTAAGAAAGAACAAGAAGAAGACAAAAACCCATAAATTAAAGCTGAAACTGAGCTCGAAGAAGGAAAAAAGTAACCAATTTTAAGAGTTAAAAACGAAGAAAGTAATATAAGAGAAGTAATATTTACAGGTTCTTCAGAGATGATGCATAGTTCGCCATGAGAGACACCTCGTTTAACAAATTCATGAGCTGCATAACCAGCAGCAACTCCTCCTCCCAATATTACAAACACAAAGGCCCTACCCATTTCCCCTTTCCCCAAAATTCAAAGGACCAAAAATCCCAAATTTAATATCTTACCCTTTTCAAATTATTTGATTACGGATCATTCAATTAACGTGGGGCTGTAGCAATTTCAACCACTTCTTTTACTATTTTGCCCTTTTCGATAATTCCTTAAATCTTTCCATTTGTAGTTTGAACTTTGAACCATTAGATTTAGAAAATATTCCCTTTTAGTCCTGCTTTTGCATGTTTATTCTTTTTGCTTCTACATATTCAAAAACTTTTTTAAGTAGTATTGAAAACACTTATAAATTTAGCGTGAATTATTAATTTAATCTTTGAATTATTGATAACTTTAAAAGCATTCATTTACTTGATTAATTGAACTTAAATATGTTTTCGATCTTGCAACATAATTGAAATACATTCCTAAATTTTCGTCAAGTTTAGGAGTGTTTTCAACACTTCTTTTAATTTTTTATTAAGAATCTTATGCTCCTACAAGAATTTGAGACCATTTATTACATCATGTGGCAGATTAGGACGTATCTAAGTTTAGTTAGTCAAGTAGAGATGTGTATTTAAAAAAACGTGAATAGCTCGACAACAAAACTAATAATTTGCAACAAATTTAAGAGTTTTTTTTAATACTTTTCTAAAAACTTAACGGGCTCTTAATTATTGGATAATTTATTGTCCATGTATTATTACTTAATATTTGAATTCTAAAGACAAAAAACATACAATATTTATGTAGATAAAAAATATGCATTTTCATGATTTCAAGATTAAATATGTTTCGCAAAGTTCACAAAGGACCAGAATGAAATTCAATTAGTAATAATTTGTTGAAGGATAAAAAGGGAAATTACTTCTTTATTGAAAAATACTACTAGTAGGTAGGGGGACCCACTGAAAGGAGATAAAGCAGTATTATTGTTACACGTGGAGTAGGATATGATCTTTTGCATAGGGATGTGTGATGGACGGTTGATGATCAAGTTGACTGACGTGGCTGTTTCCGGAAAGATCATATTACCGGTTTCTTTTTTCTTTTCTTTTTTTCCCCTTTTGAGGGAAAAATAAAAAGGATAATATCAAATTGTATTTTAAAAATACAATTGATATCTTTAACACATATAATATTGAGGAAATTCCATAAAAAAAAAATTAATTAATAAGTCTCCTTAGCTGTAATTTGTCTAGTTACGCTTCATCACTATAATTTTGTTTGCTATATATATTACCATTTATATAATTTGTTTGTGAATATACAAACAGAAAAAATATATATAAATTATGTATTTATACATTTAGGATTTTTTCATAACTTATACAAATAAAATGTATTGACAAGATAATTATATACAAGCTAGGGCAAACATATATAAATTCTGAATTTAAACAATTAGCAGCTGAATTATACAAATTTTGGACATGCATGGCTCGCATGCATATGGTTATATGTCAGTAGCAAAAAGTAATTTCTCCAAATTATAGCTATATTAAATAATTAATTAGTATGTGTTTACTTAGTCATGTAATTTTCCGTTTAACTCAAAAACTTTAATCTAGCCAACTTGTAACTAAAATTTCAGCTTTACCCTTATTTGTGTATAGTGTGAGAGGAGTTTAAGAGAATGTATAAATCATTTTTCATCGTCGTGCAAGAGATTGATTATTGTTAAAGAATGGTTAAAGTCTCACATTGGTGGTTAATGAGATAAGTGGACTCCTTATAAGGCTTGGACAATTATCTTCTATTTGAGCTAGCTTTTCGAATGTGAGTTAAATCTAAAACCTAATTTCACATGGTATCAGTCCATCCCACCCAATGTTGGAGCTCCCCCAAAAAATAATCAAAAAATTGTCAATGAAATGAATGAACTCTTTATGAGGATTAGGCAATTGCCGCCTAAGTTAGGCCTAATACCTAATTTCACAATTATTAATTATGATTTTTATCATAATAAAACAATACTATAGGTGTAGGAGGAATAGCATGCCGTTATGCTTATTTATTCTACTAGTGAACTTATCGCGCTTTGCGCGGAAAAGCGCGGAGAAATAAACTATATCACACATCTTTTTTCTGAAATAATATTTACTTTATTTAAAAAATAATTTTGACTATGAAAAATTCAAATTAAATCTCCATGTTTAGACTTTCAAATAAAATGTTATTTTGTTTCATTTGTGAAAAAAATATAACAAAACACAACTCTAATTTCAAAAAATTCTAGTAAAATGAAAAATATTTAATTTCTAATTATATATGGTCAAATGCCCACCAAATTCATGATTTATTTTTTCTTTCTTTCTAATACTCGAATATTAAAATCATCAAAAAAATAAAATCAATATTATTTTCAATATTTCTTTCAAACGTAAAATCTAAATAGAAGAAATTATAATATACATAAAAGTCTTTTTCAAAACTTAAGTTTTTTAAATTCTAAACCGAAAGTTACATAAAAACATTATCTATATTTTGTTTTAAGTAAATATGAAAACATATGTATAAAAATATCTTGTTAACAGACCTTTGACTATATATTTCTTCACTAAGTTATCTATTTATTTAATTAGTCTTTGATACTCAAGAAATAATTAAATGAAAACAGGATATCAGGAAATTTCTTTAAAAACACATCTCATTGTATGGTCCAAAAAAAAATAATATAAACACAAAAATAACTTCCATCCATTTTTCAACTAAATAATATTTTTGTGAAATGTTGATATTCATTTGGTGAGTAGATATAAATATAATGGTATTCAATTTTTTTTAATCAAAATATGAAGTTTTTTAAGTTTTCAAGATTCATAAATGCACAAAGTAATACTTAAAAGAAAATAATATGTTCAATCTATTTGAGAATTTATAGAAAAGGCTAACGGACAAGATATATATGCTTCATTAACGCTTAATTTTTTCCTTCCAAAAACAATAGAAACATTACATATCTTAATTAGTATGGAGCAATGAAAAAACATTTAAGTCTTACAAAATATAACTATTCTAACAATTCCTATAATCATACTTAAATATCATGAACTAAAAAACTCATATGCATGAAATTCTGTTTTTTCTTCTTTTTTCTCTCAATTGAATTTTATATCGAACAATGATTCTTCTAGATATTTAATTAGTTGAAATGTGAGTGTCATATATTTGTGGTTATTTTTTTTTCTTATGTACATATATTTTTTATTTCTAATAATTAATTTTCTTAAGCACTTTTAGTCTTTCAATGAAAATATACTATACTGAGTTAAAAAAATTATTTGCAGGCAAACGATAAAAAATCTATAGGTAGATATTTCAAGTATTTTTCTTTTGGATATTTTTTGTGATCATATTATCTAATTTTTAAGAATTTAATTGAGAAATTTCATTCATTAAAATATTAAACTTGGTTGAAATGTTCAATGCATTAATTTGCAAGACTATCATTCCGATATATGTGAGTGAATTGTATTCGCAAGACATCACAGTGAAATTTTTTAAAAACAGAGATCTAATAATATATGATGAAGAAAATATATATATATAAAATAAATTACTTCTACAATTATATATTATATTAAAGCTAGAAATGCATTAGCAACTTAATTTCCCTTTGTGTCACTACATGATATTTTTTATTTATGCTATACTAAAGCTGAAATGCAAAACTGAACTTCCCTTTGTGTCATACATGAATTTTTTGATTTATTTGAAGAATTTAATTCCTTAGAACGAATATGATATACGTCAAACCTTAATCCTTAGAACGAATATGATATACGTCAAACCTCAATGTTTGATTATTATACAAAGAGATCAATGAATATTGGAATGAAATTAATCTAAAAATAAATATTATGAAAAAATATATAAAGAAGACAAAATATATCAAAATCAATACTACTCCAATTAGATTTGAGATTCTTAAGATAGGCATACAAGTATCAATACATTTATTTTTGAGATGGTAAATACAATTAGATATAACATTTTAACTTTTCAAGAATGAAAAGATGTAGTAAAACAAAACTAAAAAGAGTAATAATATAAGTGAGAAAATAAACAAAAAATGTAGAGAGACAAGAAAGAATTTTCTTATTCTTCCAGGTATATTCAAGTGTTTTCTAAATTTTTCAAGTGCATCACACATCCTAAAGACCTCTACTTATATTGTTATAATTAGAGGCATACAAAAAGATAGCAATAAACATGATATTTATTGAGAATGTGGGGAAGATTAAAGGGTGTGGAAGTAGAGCCGTCAATATGGTTTAGGCCCGTTGGGCCGGCCTGGCCTAACCCGTGATTTGATAGGGTTTTTTTTAGCCCATTTAAGAAAAGGGCTTTTTAGTGCGGCATGAATAAGTTTGTCGATTTGTGGGGTTTGAGAAATATGGATAGGGCCGGCCCGTGTGCCATAGAAAATTAATAAAAAATAAAAATAAAATAGAGTATTAAAAATAATAAAAGTTTGAAATATTACAATTTAAATACAAATTATATTTATAAAATATGTACTACATAAAATAAAGTTCCTAAAAATTCTAGGGAATCACTACATATGTCATAGCCTATGGAATATTATCATAGTTTTTGTGTTTTATTATGATCATTGGAAAAAATTAGGTTAATATTTATAATTAGCCATTTATGTTTTTACTTGAAATCAAATTTAATAAATATTATATAGATAATTTTATTTGTGTATCCGATTAGCAAGTAGTAACACTAGTCGATATTTATGATGATATTTTTAAATTATAATTTAATTTAAAAAATTATAAAAAATATACTTTTAAGAAAAGAGGGCTGACCCGGCAAAGCCCGTAGTCCACACACTTGTGGGCTGGGCAAACCATTTTCTGGTCCACATAAAAAATGGGCTAGCCCGGCCTGACCCGTCAAATTGCAAAGTCGGTATGGGTTAGACCAGATGGGGTGGGTCAACCCATATATTGACAACTCTATGTGAAAGATAAATGAGGAGATGGTGGAGGTATGAGTATTATTACACATAATGGTGAAATTATATCTTGAAGTTATGGACATCCATATTAATATAATATATTTACAATAAAACATTAATTATATATAAATAATAATTATATTAAAAATAAGGAGAAAAACAGATAAATAGAAATGGAGGCTATAGAGATGTGTCACATCACTTTGAAACTAGCTATTGACTGAGTGATGTGACACATCTCTATGGCCTTCATTTCTATTTATATGATTTGATCTTAATCAATGAAACTAACTATTGGCGGAGGGAGGGGGGAGCATTATGTGGCCCAAATTATATATCATGAAACCAACCTAATTATAAAGTAAATTATCCTGTGAATTGAAAATTTTCCAAGTCAAGAACAACCAATACACATACATGATCGTTTAATTAGTTGGTTAGAATTATAAAGATATTAATTATATACAGATATTAATTATTTCATTTTTACCCTATATAAAATAGTACATTAATTCTCTCACATAACTTATATTTCATTTATTAGTTGTGAGTTTCTAAATTACAAAATAAATATTGTATTAATTTTACACATAAATAGCCTAATATTTTCTAACTTACTACCAAATCTTATATAACTTATACAAAAATCAATACTCTTTACGTTCATTTTTACTTGTCACATTTGGATTTGACATATCTATCAAGGAAACAACAATTGACATTACTATTTTACTACACATCCCTATAAATTGATGTTTAGTTTATGTCTTGGAGAATAATTTGAAATAAGTTGTTAACGTTAACTGTAAAACATAGGAAAGAAGTTAATTTTTTTTGATATATTAAAAATATCAATTTATTTATAAAATAATGGACAAGAAAAAATAATCGGAGCGAGTACTCGAATAAGTTGCTTTCTTAATGGCTACACCAAATGACCCCATAGTTGTTCAGATAATTAATAAGATGACTAAAATTTCTGCAATTTGCTTAATTTTCCAGTCTTTCCATTTATTATTCCAATACTTGTTTGGAAAAGTCTTTAGTAGGTCTACTATCAACAGTGCTTGACTGGAAAATTAGTAACTTTAGGTTCCCAGAATTTGCTTCTAAATCTAGTGCTTCTTCTCTATATAAGAAGTAATTGTTTGATTATTGTTATTCACATTAATTCTCATTTGAAACTTTCTTGTTATTTCTTACATTTTCATAATGGCTCTTCTTTTTCTCTTCACTAAGAATTTCTCTATTGTACCCATGGTTGCACTGTTTGTACTGTTAATGTGTGGCATCCAAATGACAGGTCTATCTATCTCTCTTGTAAAAATATTTCTTCCATCTCAATTTATATGACATTTTTGAAGAAATATTTAACTTCATTTTATTCTTTGTGAATGTTTTTGATATATAATTAGAGTTTAAGCAACATATACCGTCAGTATAAATAATTTATATAATATCAGGTCAAATCTTAACTTATTATAGCGTGTAACAAATCTTATTTTCAAGATTTTAGATCCCATATTCTCAGAATGTTTAGTTGTAGATATCTTTTTAATGATATGATAATGTAGAAAAATATGTCTTTACTTATACATCGACAATGTTTTAGCGCTATTACATTTTCAGGTCAATATATTATGCACATATTTGTCAATTTAAAATGAGAATTGTAATCTTAAAAATGATTGTCTAAACCTTGATACTATAGATAGAAAATCCTTTATGTTGCCGATGTATATACAAGTTAAAGTCATTTTTATCTATTCATGTGACATCTAGTACTAATTATAAGTTGAGATTTAATTTGGATCTCCTTTTTTTTTTTTTGCTAAATTATTGTTTCCAATAATGCAGGAGTACACTCTGTTGGGGTATGCTATGGAAGAACGGCTGATAATTTGCCATCAGAATCTGATGTTGTAAATCATTGTCATGCCAATGGTATAAAAAAAATAAGACTTTATTATCCAGACACAAATGTTTTGAATGCTCTAAGGGAAAGTAACATTGAAGTACTTGTTGATGTCCCAAATGAACATGTCAAAACACTAGCACAAGATCCAAATCAAGCAAGAAATTGGGTAAACAATAACATAAAAGCCTATTTCCCTAGTGTTAAATTCAGGTATATCGCGGTTGGAAATGAAATCAGCCCAATAAAGCATGTAGAATTTGCTCCATTTGTTGGTCCTGCTATTGAAAATGTTCATAACGCGATAGTAGAAGCAGGATTGCAAGATCAAATTAAAGTCTCAACCGCGACATATTCAACCTTGTTAACAAATACATGGCCTCCACAAAACAGTATGTTTAATCCTGATTGGAGAGGTTTCACTGATCCAATAGTGAAACTTCTTAGAGACAACAATTTGCCATTGCTAGTAAATATTTACCCGTATTTCAGTTACATTTATAATATGAAAGATATACCACTATCCTATGCCCTGTTTAAAGATTCAGGAACAAACTCAGCTGGTTACCAGAATCTTTTTGACGCGTTAGTCGATAGTATGTACTATGCTCTGGAGAAATCTGGTGCACCTGATGTGGAAGTTGTTGTTTCGGAAACAGGATGGCCTTCTTATGGACACCCTGCTGCAACTACTGATAATGCGCGGACTTATTACACGAATTTGATTAATCATGTTAGAAATGGCACTCCAAAGAAGCCTGGAAGGGGAATTGAGACATTTTTGTTTGCAATGTTTGATGAAAGAGGAAAAGGAGGGGATGAAACTGAGAGACATTTTGGACTATTTTACCCTGACAGAAACTCAAAATATGGTCAGTTGAACTTTAATTAGTAAATAAGGCCTAAGGGGATTTATGTTGCTATAATATCAACATAGGAGTATGTCTTTTTAATTACTTAATATGTATAAGGAATAATGGATTTATTTTTTAAAAAAAAAAGATGCTAGTAAAGATGTTTGTTGTAAGCTTTTAAGCTACAAAAAACATGTATAATCTTTTTGAATGACTATGTTGTGTTGTGTTTAAGTTTGTAATCTAATAATCATATACTTAATAGTGTTTTGTCTGTCAAAGAAAAGTTTGCCTCTTTATGTACTTTTTATGTTTTGTTGTAAGGAAAAAAAAGTCACAATATAAGTCTCAACTCAAGAGTGATAATTGTTTTAAAATTTAAATTTCTCATCTTCATTGAATAGTTATTTTCTTCCAATTTCGTGAAGATGTTTGCAGGTTTGTTATAAAATAATAAAGCTAAGAAAAATAATATTGTAGAGAAAGTAGAGATAAAAGATGGCTCCATAGGGAAAATAATGAAAATCCTGGTTTTATATGGACAAAATTAACATGGTTTCTGAGTAAGAAAGTACAAACGCTAACGTAAGGGTACAGAACATAACTTGTGGGATATTATGATGTGGAAATATAATTTTATACTCTACTAGAATTATTAGAGCAACTTTCACATATAGCAAACATAAAAATCATATTTGTATGTTATAGTTATAGTTTGCATAATTGCGCTTCATAACAAACATAAATATGTATATATTTTGTTATACATATACAAAAGAAAACAGTTGTATATAATATGTTTCTGTTTCGGTATACATATACAAAAGATCAATTGTATAATTTGTGTTTGTATAAAGCGAGAAAGAAAGAAAGGCAAAAGAGATTTGGGCAGGGGAATATTTGTATTGTATAATTATAAGTGTATAGGACGAATATATATGTATTTGCATGTGTATATACAATTTTCTCTCGCTTTATACAAATATAAACACAATTTATACATTTATGTTTGTATAAGCGAGAGAAGCGAGGAAGAGACTGGTGAGCGAGATCTGGGAGAGGGGAGAGATTGGAACGAAAATATATGTATATATACAATTTTCTCTCGCTTTATACAAACACAAACGCATTTTATACATTTGCATTTGTATAAAAATGAGAGAGGCGAGGGAGAGAACGAGAGAGGCGAGCGAGATTCACTAGGAGAGAGGCGAAATAGCAACAGTTTGCTATGGGGTACAATAAATCAAACTATGTTTATAGCATTTAATTTGAATTAATAATATGCTATTATATACAATTTTCCCAAATTATTTGTCTTGAGAGCAAAAATTAAAGATAGTACAAAATAATACAAAGGTGGAAATGGCTTACGGGTGCTTATTGGGCGGCCCAAATTAGTAGGCCCATAGAGCTATCGGCCCACGTATAAATTAGATGAGCAGTAAGCCCATAAATATTGGAAGTGATGTATAAGGAACCGAGTATGTGTGTTGGGCCGTAGATGGGCCTACTGTATTGGTAAGGAAATAATGGGTCGAGAAATGGGCTACAAAGCTGACATGAGTTAACATCTTCAACAAAAGTACACTATTTAATTTAGTGAAAATTTCATATATGACATATATTAGACTAATATTTTCAAGTTATAGCAGTAGAATTAAACTTTCAAGTTGTAACAATAAAATATTTCAGGTTGTAACAGTTTTTTTAAAAAAATATTTTTTTTAAAATAATTGTAAAAATTTGTTTTGAAAAAAATAAAAAAAATTCTTTTCTGAAAAAAAAAGGGTAAAAAAAGGGAAATAAGTGTGTTAATTAAATTTGAATTGATTGAATATAATTACTGATTAACATAAATTTAGGAAATTCAAACTAATTAAGAATATTTAGTTCCTTATTTCACTCTAATTTGTTAAAATTAATTAAAAATTTTGATTTCATCCATTTTCTTCCACGTTTCTCTCTATTCGATTTTTTTCCAGAAATCTTGTCACTCTATCTAATTCATATTCATTTTTATTGAATAATCTTTATTTTCTGGACGGCTTCTTATTAGTATTAATAAAACATTATGGTAGATGGGATCCTTCAGGTTAGTGTTCTTTGCGATTTTTTATTTGTATTGTAATACAAACCAAACGTTCAAAAAAATTATGAATAGTGATTCTGAAAAAAAAAACATATTTTGTTTGTGAATAATAGTTTTAATTATGACGTTTTTGGTATGAATATTCACTTTTGAGATTACATAAAATTTGTTTGAAATTGGTATAGATTTTTGTTTAAACATTCAGTTTTTGTATGTTTCTGGTTAAAAAATTACATAACATTTATTTGAATTTGGTATATTGGTTATACCATGTTGATACGATTTTAGAATTATATTTGAATGAATTTCGTATACTATTTGTCTAATAAATGACAATTAATAGTTAAAAGTGGTATTATTTTGGTATTATAGTGACATGATTCTGCAGTGAAAAAGTAACGACTTATGTCATGAAATAGGTATAATTTTGGCATGAAATAGGTATGAAAAATGTGCATAATAATTATATGAAATTTGTATATTGATTTCAGATTTTTTGTTGTGTATAATAATTTGAATTATGGCATTTTTTTTTTAAATGTATAATGTTATATTTCGGTATGAACATTGAATGTGTTCATTATTTGTCTGACGCATTTTTTTTTTGGTATATTTTTGGTTAAAAAAATAGATAATTTTTTCTTTGGAATTTGTTTACTTATACTACCAAGCATGTATGACAATCGATAATGTTTTGGTACGATTTTTGGTTTGATTGGATTTTTTTTTTGGAATTATATTGTAATGAATTTTGAGAATAATAATGTAATGAATTTGGTATACTGTTTATTAAAGAAATGACAATTAATATTTCTAAGTTGGAATTATTTTGGTATTCTAGTGGCATGATCCTAATATGAATAATTGATAACTTTTGGCATGAAATAGGTAAGAAATGTGTGAATAAGAATTGTATGAAATTTGTATATTGATATAACATATGTGTTTTTACTTTTGTATTTTGTAAAAACATATGAAATTGTTTTAAAATAACATATGTATTTTTACTTTTGTAAGCATAAAAATGGTATGAAATTTGTATATTGATATAACATATGTATAAAAGTTATTTGTACTTTTGTATGATATAATATTGACACAATAATTTATTATGAAACAGAAAAATATGCAATTCAAAAAGTGTCGGAGCAGAAATTATTGTCGCCTGGTTCAAAAAGAATTGTAGGGAGACCACAACTTGTAAATGTTTTGCTGATGTGAAATTCAAGAGGTCTAAGATTACGTGCGGTACATGTCGTCGGGAGGAACACAATAGGAAGACATGTTCAAATTACCCTTCTGAAAAAAAGACATAATTTATTTTGATTTTGATTTGGTTGTTTTATTGTGGCAAACTCATGTTTTGATTTATTTTGTCTTTTAAGTTAATGAATTATAATTTCAGAATATTTATTATGTGTGCTAGTTAATCATTTGTGTATTCAGTGTTTTTCAAATGTATACTCAAAAAATAGGCAATGTTTGTATGCGATTGATATAGACTGAAAAAATTAAGTCAAATCTTAGTAGGAAATTGGTATACATTTGGTATCCAACTGACGTTCAAGTGGTAAAATTGAAAAAACAACAACATGTAATTGAGATTTCAACTGAAATAGCCAACGTAAAACTAGTTAATATTGTATCCAATTTGTATAAATTTAGTATTGAATTGATATCCCATTGAAAAAATGAAAAATCAACATGTGGTTGAGATTTGAATCAAATTAGACAACCTAAACAAGTTAATGTTGTATTCAATTGGTATCCAACATATATCCCACTTGAAAATGAATAAACCAAAATGTAACTGATATTTCAACCAAATGAGACAACCTAAACAAGTTAATGTTGTATTCAATTGGTATCCAACATATATCCCACTTGAAAATGAATAAACCAAAATGTAACTGATATTTCAACCAAATGAGACAATCTAAAACAAGTTAATGTTTTATCCAATTTATATACACTTGGTATCCAACTTGAAATTTTAGAACAAAGACAAAAATTAAAAATCTATAAAATTAGTATCCAACGGGTATAAATCCGGGAAGAATAAATCTGGTTGTAAAACAATGCATATTATATATTGTTGTCAGAAATTGTAGCAAAAGAAATATACATCACCCAAAAATCAAAACATGTAATTAAAAGTCTAGACTGCAATAATTAATACAAGTTCTATATTTTTCTCTCTTCAATTTATATTCCGTATTCAAGTGTGATTTTTTTATCATATTTAAGCTAAAACTTAAGAAATCCTTATTAAAGATTTTATGATCTCATATTAACTATATATATCAACAACTTTCAGAATTAAATATACTTATTTCACCAACAAAACAGTATTTTAGATATAGAAAAACACACCAAAAACAAGTTCAAAACTTAAGTAAAACAATTTTTTTCTCAAGAAATCAAGTTTTAGCTTAATTAAAATAAAAAACGACATCAAATTTTCAAAATATAGAATTCTTAATTCTAAAAAAATCAGATTAAAAAAAACAATATCAAAATTTAAAATAAAAAAAAAATCAATAAAAACAAAAAAAAAATAGATTAAAGAGAGAGAAAATTACATGTTAAAATATACGGTGATAAATTTTATTTTATTTTTAAAATTAAAGGCCCCAATAGTCATTAATAAATAAAAGTTATTTGTATAAGTTAAAAAATCCCTTAAAAGGTGTAATAGATAAATACAAATTGATTCTCTCTCATTAATATTATTTCTCTCACCTATTATTTATATAAAAGGAATTGCAATCAATATAATTAAATAATTAATAATATAAAAATATAAAAAGATTAATCATTTTATAAGTAAATTTTAATTGATTTTTAAATGAAATTAAATTAAATTGATATGTTATAACTCGTAATTAAACTGTTATAATTAAGAATTTTTTAAGAGTAGGTTTAAAACTCGAAATATTCTCTTAA